CCTCTACCTCCTGGGTTCAGGCAATTCTCCTGCCTCAGCCTCCTGAGTAGCTGGGATTACAGGCACGTGCCACCATGCCCAGCTAATTTTTTGTATTTTTAGTAGAGACGGGGTTTCACTATGTTGACCAGGATGGTCTCCATCTCTTGATCTCATGATCCACCCGCCTCGGCCTCCCAAAGTGCTGGGATTACAGGCGTGAGCCACCGCGCCCGGCCGACTATCATCAATTTTTATAAATGTCTTGATCTGTTCCAAGTTTGGCCCTCCAGTTATTAAGAGCACACTGAGGTTTGAGTTTAGTGAGATTATTTTCCCCGCAGAAGCTGTAAGCAAGAGTTACTGCATATTTCTCTTAGGGGATTAGTAAAATTCCCATCATATTTGATTTCTTGGTCAGTTTTTAGGAATCTCCATAGAAGCAGTGAAAGTTCAAATACTGGCTCTGCACTTACAAGCTATTATCACCTTGGGCAAGTTCAGGTTAATGTTTTTTTCTGTGCCTATTTCCTCATTAGTAAAGTGTGCATAATAGTACCTACTTTATAAATGATTTTGAAGAATAAATAAGCTAATACATGCAGTGTTTAGAATAGTGCTATTTAGACAGGAAGTGCTATTTAAGAGCTTGCTATTATTCCAGAAGATGTGGATTTTACTATTCAGAGTCTTTAGAGAGAGCCCTTTAGACAGCATCTTAAGGAGCTAACTCCTTAGTTGCTGTTTCTTCAAAAGAGTATTTCATATTCAAGAATTTTGGTTCTTTTTTTTTTTTTGAAATGGAATCTTACTTTGTTGCCCAGGCTGGAGTGCAGTGGTGCTGTCTGCAAACTGACCCTCCTGGGTTCAAGTGGTTCTCCTACTTCAGCCTCCTGAGTAGCTGGGATTATAGGTATGCACCACCATCTCTAGCTAATTTTTGTATTTTTAGTAGAAACCGGGTTTCACCATGTTGGCCAGGCTGGTCTCGAACTCCTGGCCTCAAGTGATCTGCCCTCCCCTGTCTCCCAAAGACCTGGGATTACAGATGTGAGCCACTGTGCTCAGCCTTTGCTTTGGTTTTAAAAGTACTTACAATACTCAAATGCCTATGTTGGCTATTTGTTTTTACCCAGCTTGTGGGCAGAAAAAAAATTAAAGTTCATTTAGATCAAGTTCTGCAGCAGTTCCTTTCCCTACTGCTATTACTGTTAAAGAACCATGTGCCATCATTAGGCCAAGTTGGTGCAGCAGCTGCAAAACTTCCCAATTTGTCTTCTCCCAGACTGGAGGGGCTTAGGCAGCTTCTCTAGGATCCATCACATGTTCTACATCTCAACTTTACCCGTAACACTCCCACCCCCTCCTGCACTAGTCATTCACTCAACAAACTAAGTTGAAAACCATTACCAGTTCAATTCTAAAATAGCTTAACAACAACAGCAAGATGTTGGTGGCATTCCCACTTTACTGGTAGAAACTGAGTGTTTCATTGGTGAAGAAACTTGCCTAGGATCACAGTATCTTAGTTTCTTAGGGCTACCATAACAAAACATCACAGATAGTGTGGTTTAAACAACAGAAATGTATTTTCTCACACTTCTGGCAACTAAGTCTAGGAGCAAGCAGGTTTGGTTTCTTCTGAGACCTGTCTCCTTCACCTGCAGAGGGCCACCTTCTCACTTTCCTCACATGGCCTTGCCTCTATGCTTGTCATCCCTGGAGTCTCTCAGTGTGGACCAATTTCCTTTTCATACAAAGACACCAGTCAGATTGGATTTAGGGCCTATCCTAATGGCCTTGTTTCAACCTAATCATTTTTAAACCCTATGTCTTCAGATAGTCACATTCTGAGGTACTCAGGCTTCAACAAATGAATTTTGGAGGACACAATTCAGACCATAACACAGGCAATGTATGTCTCAGATGAGATCTGAATGAATGATCAGCCTAACCACCAAGCAGATTCTTTTAGCAGACTGCAAGGTGCACTGGAGAGCTTTAGACTAGAGGCTTAAGAGGTCATTTAGGCAATATTTACACAACTGCTAGGTACTAGGAGTGGGGGATGTAAGAGTCAACAAAATAGTTCTTTGTTTCACTAAGTTTACAGTTTACCATGCGGAAGAGACAAATACTGAACAGGGAATTATATTACTCTCAGTAAAATAACAACTGGGAACAATTACAGGGGATTACATTATATATGGAAGAAATACAAAAAACACTTTCCCATGATTATTCCTGTAGAAAATTATTTGTGACTAGGTCAACCAAACATGGCCACTGTGAATTATCTTCTTGGGCATAGAAATGTCTTTGCTAAAAATGGATTTCTGGGGTGGCTGGCAAGATGGCCGAATAGGAACAGCTCCCAGTGAGACCGATGCAGAGGGGAGATTATTTCTGCAATTCCAACTGAGGTACCTGGCTCATCTCATTGGGACTGAACAGACAGTGGGTGCAGCCCACGGAGGGCAAGCTGAAGCAGGGTGGCGTGGCACCTCACCCAGGAAGTTTGAGGGGTTGGGGAACTTCCCCCCCACCCAAGGGAAGCCGTTGAGGGACTGTGCCATGAGGAACAGTGTGCTCTGGCCCAGATACTATGTTTTTCCCATGGTCTTCACAACCTGCAGATCAGGAGATTCCCTCTGGTGCCTATCCTACTAGGGCCCTGGGTTTCAAGCACAAAACTAGGCAGCCATTTGGGCAGACAGTGAGCTAGCTGCAGGAGTTTGTTTTTTTTTTCCATACCCCAGTGGCACCTGGAATGCCAGCGAGACACAACCATTCACTCCCCTGGAAAGGGGGCTGAAGCCAGGGAGCCAAGTGGTCTAGCTCAGTGGATCCCACCCCCACGGAGGCCAGCAAGTTAAGATCCACTGGCTTGAAATTCTCACTGCCAGTACAGCAGACTGAAGTTGACTTGGGATGCTCAAAGTTAGTCAGGGGAAGGGGTCTGCCATTACTGAGGCTTGAGTAGGTGGTTTTCCCCTTAGCGTGTAAACAAAGCTGCTGGGAAGTTCCAACTGGGCAGAGCCCACCAAAGCTCAGCAAAGCTGCTACAGCCAGACTGCCTCTCTAGATTCCTTCTCTCTGGGCAGGGCATCTCTGAAAGAATGACAGCAACCCCAGTCAGGGGCTTATACATAAAACTGCCATTTTCCTGGGATAAGCACCTAGGGGAAGGGGTGGCTGTGGGCACAGCTTCGGCTGACTTAAATGTTTCTGCCTGCCAGCTCTGAAGAGAGCAGTGGATCTCCCAGCACAGTGCTCGAGCTCTGCTAAGAAACAGGCTGCTCCTCAAGTGGGTCCTTGACACCTATGCCTCCTGACTGGGAGACATCTCCTAGCAAAGGTAGAAAGACACCTCATACAGGAGAGCTCCGGTTGGCATCTAGTGGGTGCTCCTCTGGGACGAAGCTTCCAGAGGAAGGATCGGGCAGCAATCTTTGCTGTTCTGCAGCCCCTGCTGGTGATACCCAGGCAAAGAGGATCTGGAGTGGACCTCCAGCAAATTCCAGCAGTCCTGCAGCAGAGGGACCTGTTAGACGAAACTAACAAAAACAGAAAGGAATAGTGTCAACATCAACAAAAAGGACGTCCACACAGAAACCTCATCCGAAGGTTACCAACATCAAAACCAAAGGTAGATAAATCCACAAAGATGAGGAAAAATCAGTGCTGAAAATTCCAAAAACCAGAATGCCTCTTCTCCTCCAAAGGATAACAACTCCTTGACAGCAAGGGAACAAAACTGGACGGAGAATGAGTTTTATGAACTGACAGAAGTAGGCTTCAGAAGGTGGGTAATAAACTGCTCTGAGCTAAAGAAGCATGTTCTAACCCAATGCAAGGAGGCTAAAAACCTTGAAAACAGGTTAGAGAAATTGCTAACTAGAATAACCAGTTTAGAGAAGAACATAAAACACAGCACAAGAACTTCATAAAGCATACACAAGTATCAATAGCTGAATTGGTCAAGCAGAAGAAAAGATGTCAGAGATTGAAGATCAACTTAATAAAATAAAGCACGAAGACAAGATTAGAAAAAACAATGAATGAAAAAGCCTCCAAGAAATTATGAGACTATGTAAAAACACCAAACCTATGTTTGATTGGTGTAACTGAAATGATGGGGAGAATGGAACCAAGTTGCAAAACGCTCTTCAGGATATTATCCAGGAGAACTTCCCCAACCCAACAAGACAGGCCAACATTCAAATTCAGAAGATACAGAGAACACTACAAAGATATCCTGGAGAAGGGCAACCCCAAGACACATAATCATCAGATTCATCAACGTTGAAATGAAGGAAAAAATGTTAAGGGCAGCCAGAGAGAAAAGGTCTGGTTACCCACAAAGGGAAGCCCATCAGACTAACAGCAGATCTCTCTGCAGAAACTCTACAAGCCAGAAGAGAGTGGGGGCCAATATTCAACATTCTTAAAGAAAAGCATTTTCATTCCAGAATTTCATATCCAGCCAAACCAAGCATCATAAGTGAAGGAGAAATAAAATCCTTTATACAAAAGCAAA